GGTGGTGCTGAAATCTATCCATAGGATTTACAACTGAAGCCGTTTGTTGGCAACCGGATTGCCTGAGAAGTATGTACATACCCTCAAAGAGTTGCATCATACCTTAGTTCGGTCCGCTTTCACCACCCTTTTTCACCTCTAATGGAGTGCTACAAACTGCCTTAGATTTCAATTAATTTATGAATCAATTTTCTGTGACCTAAAGAACGGTGGACTCAATTGCCCCCCAGGAAATAGATTCTTTTGATCTAGGATACGCCAATAACATTAACCTGGCGAGTACATAGACACTCAAACACTTCCAACGGTGGTATTAACTATGGACCATTCAAGTGCGGTGATCTCACAATACTGATAGAAGCCTGTAACCGAAATCATCCTTTTGGGTGAGCTGCCAGAATCAGTTAAAAAATTCAAGCACCTTAAAAGTTTGACAACAACTGGGGCAGTTATGGCGGTGTCTTCCCACCAAAATAAGAGAACGAAATGCCAATATCCGGGGCTGTAACCGTGTTGGTGAACCACTGGCAGTTCACCCAGTTGACTAGAAACCGGATTCCAAACCAACCAAAAAGAAGCGTGCGAACCACATCAATCCGTACCTTCCTGGTTATGACAGTGGTTACGGGCTCAATTGGGCATCAAGGTGTATTGGGCTCCTTGGACGTTGGATCACGTCCAAAGGGCGTATGAACCGATGAACTGGACTACGGTCCCTAATGGATTGCGGTATTCATACACCGCCTCTGTGTCTTGCGAGTTAGGCTTTGATAAGCCGAAGTCTCCGGTTGTGAATTGGTCTGGGTAACCAAGCAGTATTACGCCCCCGAGCGAATCATGAACCATTTTCTCTTTTATAAAGATTATTGTACCGTGATTTGTTTGGCACTCAGTCTTAAATCAGACGTGTGTAAAAATAAAAAAATTAAAATAAATCACAAAAGTAAATCAAGTTAATTTAAATTTGCATTTCACCTTTCAGAATAGATGTGACAGTGCTCTTTCACTGCGTAACAGAACAAACAAATACACCTACATAACCAGTAGTTGAAGACGCCCTCCTTTTCGATACACACAATGCTAAAACCTACCATAATAACCTTCCGAACCACTTCTTGTTTAGACCTGTGGAGGGCTCCAGATTTTGCATCACGTTTGATTGAAATTATTATTTTCAACATAGTCAATGTTACTTCATATTACTCAGTATATTTTTCTCCAAACTTTTCAGGCTCAGCCTCCACTAATCAGCATAAACCGTCATCATGCTTATTTACCCGGAACAAGTTTGGATGATAGTGGTGGGGTTCCTGATAGCTTTTGTGCTGGCTTTTGGTCTTGGTGCAAATGATGTCGCTAATACTTTTGGATCCAGTGTTGGTTCGGGCGTGCTGAGTCTGAAGCAAGCTTGCGTTCTGGCTACAATCTGCGAGATGGCTGGTGCAGTCCTTCTCGGTAGGATTTCTGCACCTTTTTACACAGCTTTTTCCTTTTAGGAGCCAAAGTATCAAACACGTTAAGGAAAGGAATTGTAGACATTGAGTTATTCACCAAATTGGAAAACGGAGCGGCCACTCTGATGGCCGGACAAGTTGCAGCGCTTGGAGGTTAGTTCACATATTCAGTGAGAAACAATATACAAACGTTTTGCGGTCGGTTTGACCAAATTTGTCATGAAATTGGGTTTTTGGTGCTTATGTTTTGGTGAATGGAACATCCAAAAGTTGTCTGAAAGACCCATTTTTACTTCATGGTAAGGCTTTTACGAACTCTGTAAGCAATCGCTTCTTGTGTGATGGACNGCTAGTTTCTGGTATCTTTTTGCTTCAGACCTAAACATGCTCGAATTTTGGATGAAATTATTTGCTTGGTTTAATCAGTTGTAGAGCGCCTGGTAGTGAGATGTCCATCACAAAGATCATCCATCAAACTATCGCCTATCCAGCCAATAACCGAGTTTGTGGGTGAATTTATTAAAATTAACTTTTTTTCACTTCAGCTTTGCTATAGAAGTCCTGCCCTTAATGTGGCGAAGGTAGAAATATTTGCCATTTTAGATATTTGAGGCACGTTTTGAAGCTAGCTCATTTAACGACAATGGAGAAGCCTGCTAAAAGGAGATGAACATACCTGCACACAGCATAGAGGGGGGCAGGATAGTCTCTGACTCGATTGAGCAATATAGCATGCTGAGCACCCTGTACGCGTGAACCACACACAATGGGCGTATTTTTCGAGTGAATCGATACTGGCCTTCAATAGACTACGGTTTTCATGCACTACCTCAATAGCTTAGGGGTCAGGCTCCAACTCATCGATCACTCCAGTAGAACAACCTGATTTGGTTTGGGCTGTTCTGCAGTATTCCGCCGACAAGCAAACCATGAGCTGTCTGCTTCAAGAAGTACCGCCTTATAGTTAGTGTGACACAATCGGAACTCAGAAATGTGGATATGCATAGTCCCAACAACTGATGGGTGATGTGTTTCAGCTTCAAACTCACTGTTAGTCTTTCTCTCCAGTTTTCCATTGAGATTGCAGAATAATTACAGACTCAACATTTACGGTCCGTGGTAGAACAACACTTATGCATACCTCGTTGATCGCGAAGACCACCGAGTCAATAAAACCTACCAGTCACCCTGAACTCGGAAATCACGTTCTCAAGGCGCAATACTTGTTTGAAATGACGCAGACCGTCGTTGAACCACTTGTCTACAGAATACTTCCTTAACCTATGGCTCAGGCTTTGGCTAACCAAAGACTACAGTTTGGAACAGATTATGAAATAACGTGCTTTGACTTGAAGGCTGTCAGTAGTGCACTAGCAAGTAATTAATGAATTAGCTTCATTTTTATGAAGACATACGTGCCGTATTCCCCAGACCGGTGTGGAATAAAAACATTACTAGAACTTATTCTAAGGTAACAGTGATGTTGGATTTCCGAAACAAATGTAAGCAAATTTGAATATCGTCTCATCTGTTGACCACTAACTCCGTTAGCTTCTCGTGTAGTTTCCAACTGTAGCATTATTACACGGTTCACAATCACAAAAAAATAAATAAACAAGGGCTATCTATGGTTTTCTGTTTTTGTATAATGCATTAGAGAATCAGCGATGGTAATCGCTTCAAGACTTAATGCTGGATTGAGTCTTTTATTTCAAACCAAACAGCCTGATTTGGGTACATGAATCTTACCCA